CCCCTCCGCTGCCGCCCGCCTGGGCCCAGGCTCCTCGACTGGCCCGACCGTCCTGCCCACCTTCCTGCCAAACATCGCCCCGCTGGGTGCCCGGCGGTGGGCACCTCTGGGCGAGCACGGCGGGTAAAGACAGCCCTCCTTGTCGGGATGCTCCGCTCGCCCCAAGCCAGGCGGCGTGAGCCTCCTGCCCGGGAGAGGGACAGACCTCCCGCCGTCCCCCAGGCACTCGTCCTCCCTCATCCACTTGTCAATGTTTATTTCTAAGATTTATTTTTGTTGTTGTTCCTCTCTTAGCTCTCAGGTCACCGAAGAGTTTCTGATGCACCCATGCTGCGCCTTATCTTCCCTTCATAGCAGGACAACTTGTCATTTTGCTTTATAGGCTCTCCCTCAGCAGCTATTAACTTTCCCATAGGATGTTTGTTAACATTAGGCAGCTCGGGTTATTTTTTTTAAAGCCCACCAGCCCGTTATTTCCCTACTCTCACTCCTTTACAGGCAGCAAAGGACTTGGTCGTGCTGTGTTCGCTTTTACTTACCCTCCCATCCACCCTGCCTTCTCCATCAGCTCTCTCCCGGCAGTGGTATGAAATCCAGAATGGTGTTCTCCTGCCCGCCGTCTCTGCCGGCTCACACCGGCGTGTCTCCCGTCCCGCCACGCTTCCCGAGGAGGTACCTGAGGAGTTAAAATCCCCAGAGCTGGGCTCTGGGGAAGCCTCTGTCAGTTCTTTAATAAAAGTCCCAGCTGTCTCTTTTCTTCCCATTGAGCAGGAACAAACCCTTCTGTCTTTTTGGAGAGATGTTCATCAAGTCTGCCCCGCAGCTCATACTGAACATCAGCTCATGTATCTCACTACATATATATACATATATATATATACACCTTCATTATTGCAGCCTCTGGGTTTATTCCCTCATGACCCCGTGGTGCCCACACAGTCCTTGTGGGGCCAGCAAACGGGACGGAGAGGTTCTTCCTATTTATTCCTCCTGCTCCAAACAGCATTTCAGACACTCAGGAGCAGTCCCATCGTTTTCTGGTTTACATGTCACATCACTCCCTTGAGATTTCCCGTTTTTGGACCAGATTCATGCCCTTTGGTTCAAGCTTTTTTTTTCTTTTTCTGCCCTTTTCAAACCCAGGTTAAAGGCCACCTCAAGGGACTGAGAAGTTGATATTATGGGTTGCTTTGCTTTGCTTTTTTCTGCTTTGAATAGGAAACATTTTTTTTTTAGTGTTGACCAGAGCTGAATTTGCATACATTTTTCATCCAAAAATTAATCTTTTTCTTTCAACAACAATTAAAATAAATCTCAAAATCCCCTCTGAAGACCCTATGAATGAATATTTGGCGTCTGGTTTCTATTCTGTTGTCTTCAGTGTTTATTCAACTTTTTCCTCAGATTGTTTGAACTGATACCTCAAGCCTTCCTTTCCCACCCCTCCACCACTGTAGCTGGATGGAGTTTCCCAAGCTTTTCCACAAAAGGCTTTCCTAGAACAAAAGTTTTTTACAAGTATGTGAACTGTGATTTGTCCTCTGAATAGGACTGATTTAAGATTTGTTTTCTAAACCCAAAGTCCAGTTTAGATGTAAAAGCATGATTGCACGTTGTAAGACAAAGTCTGTTTTCCATTAGGATATGGTTTTCTTATGTTTACTCAAGATGTACATTAAGATACATACCTTGTATCAATTACACTTGCATTTGCAGGATGTGCATACTGAATTTTTTCTGATCCAGATCAGTGATATAATGGAAATATTTATGCGAAGCTCATACAGGATATCATACTTTGTGTTAAATATTTTTATTATGGAAACAACATTGTCAATAAAGTACCGTAATATTTTGCAGGTCTAACATGCAGTCATTTCAAAAACTATTTTCAGCTTTGAATTTTCTTGATACTACTAAGAGATGTGGAGAAGACTTAAAATACTATATATATAGGAGGAGGATAAAGATAGAAGTGCCCAAATCAAGATGATCAACAGCCTGGGTAGCCCTCACGTACAATATAGCCTGGGGAGCTTTTGAGGAGAGTGTAAAATGTACTGACAAACCAGCGTGTAATGAAGAGGTCTTCAGTAAGCACGAAAGACTCCAACAAAGTGCTCTGCCTGAGCCACGTTTCCCCACCTCAGCCTGCAAAGTGAGCTGACAGTATTTTCTCACAGAAAAATGGTCCCAGCACTGCTTTCAGGAGTACTTCCAGGACTTGCGCTGCTTTGGTCAAAATAGGCGTTAGTGTTTCCCCCCTCGCTAGACACAACCGCTAGCGTGGTCAGGCTCTCTTTGAACCCCCTCTTCTCAGGACATGTGATTCCTGCAGGTTACTCTAACCAGGACACCCTCCTGCTCTTCAGCATCTTCACGAGGCAGCACGTCTTGTTCTTCAACAGTAAGACCATAAGCTCAGCTCAATTTTCTAACTACCAGTCCCTTCAGACTCTGAAACTGTCATCAGAGAAGTAGATTTTCTCAAAAACAACCTTTTCGCATCAAAGCACTATTGACTTCTTACCAGAGAGTTACACATCTTACAGGAGGGAAAGCAATACCCCAAGTTCACCAAACACGGATGCTCTTTTTTGCAAGTTTTTGTATGCCTTCTCTAAGCCGCGACACCATATGGGTAGAAGCAGACTGCCCCATTGCCCTCCTCTCAGGAGCTCCTGACTCCCTGCACAGTCTCCGGCAAACAGGGACCCCATCTTTTTCTAGGCTGTAAATCCATTCTTTTTAATCCTACTCTTACTCTGGATGAACTGGGTTTTTTTTTACTGAAGAAGCTAAGCAAAGTATACACCTTATAACTAGCTCTCTGATGCTTTTTGTAAAGTTATGTGCGTTACCTTTCCTGCTTCGCTCTTTTGACAGCCTCTTTTGTTTTAGCAAATAACTCACCTTAAACAAAAAATATATGCCATATTAATGGGAAATATTTCAGATAATTCCCCCTTTGTCACAACAGTAATTTTCAGTAACTTCATTTAGAGTTCCTCATCCCTTCAACTTCTTAGAAGTAGTTAGAATTAAATGATAATACAACCACCACCAACAGCCATTGCTTTGCTGCTGAGAACTTAAATGAAAACAGCTAAACCAGTGGCTGTGCCTTGCACCTATCCCCCAACACCCGTGGCCTGTCAATAACCTCAGGAAGAGCGAGTTAACCGGCC